GCACCATCCTTCAAAAAAATCATTCCACTCCCACTTGCTTAGTTCAAGCACTTAATGCAGGGGTGGGCAAAATGTGGCCCACTGGCCAGATGCAGCCTGCCAGGCTGTTCTATCTGGCCCGTAGGGCCCCTAAAAAAATGTAGAAAATGAATAGTTATCTGCCCCTGGCTGCCTGTTGTGCGGCCCTAGATGGCTTGCCAAAACTCAGTAAGTGGCCCTCCGCCTGAAATAATTGCCTGCCCCTGACTTAACGTAAAGCAATAATTCTTATTACCAGCTGCATGGCTCAACTTGCTATGAAAAAGAGAAAATACAAGCAGTTACAGCAGTATAGTAAAAAAATAAAAATAAAAATATTGCCCCCCAACACATGATGGGTTTAGATGTGCTTCAGAGCTCACCTGAGCAGTGCTAGGGCTTCAGGGAGCAAAGCCTCGGGGGTTGGCGTGGAATACTACACCAAGCTCCAGATTCTGGCCCGTGCTTCATTCGGAGCCCTGGCAGTGTCTGAGCAGGGGTGACTAGGCCCAGCCCAAGTCTGGGGTTTTTGTTGTTGTGTTTGTTTTTTAATTTTGGGGCAGCCAAGACCATTGAGGCCCTAGCAGGTAAGAAGTCAGCAGCGCTGCAGATTTTGTGTAGTAGGTTTGGGGCTGTGAGGATGATGGTTGTAGGTAGAAAAGGGGACTTTGTGGCTGAGTGTAGCCTCTTTTTGCTGGGCCCAGGGCCCTCACGCAAGGCACATGAAATATTTTTTTGTGTAGCGTAGCATAGGATGTGAAGAGCATTAGGCCACTGAAGTTCTTGAGATCTTCAGAGGTGGGTCCTCCTGCTGGATCACAGGATTAAGGCCACAGGGCCAAGGGGCTCCTGTAATGAGCTAGGAACCAGAAGGTTGCGAGTTAAAGCCGTGGTGTGTGTCTGAGCTGCCCAGATGCAACCTTGTGGATTTGGGAGATTTGTTTTACCCCACAACATGTGCTAAGCTCATTGGGCTTCAGAGTTCATCGGAGCAGTGCTAGAGGTCCCTGGGGCAAAGTCTCAGGGCTTGGCAACCCCTCCGGGGTTTCAGCATGCCATGCCAAGTCTCAGATTCTGAACTATGCTTCACTTGGAGCCCTGGCAGTGTCTCTGAGCCTAGGTGGCTGGGCCCAGCCTAAATCTGGTTTGTTTTTTTTTTCTTTTTTTAATTTTGGGGAAGCTGAGACCATTGAGGCCTTAGCAAGTAAGAAGCCAGTAGTCCTGCGGGCTATCATAGTAGATTCGGGGCTAAGCAGGGTTGCTTTGGGTTTTCAGCATGCTTCTGTAATTTAAAAAAAAAAATTCTTTTATTGAACTTGATACACTAGGAAAAAGGTCTCATTCGTTGAGAGACTGTATTATAGTCAGGACGATTACCTACTATGTATATAAATACTCACTCACACATTGACCGCTGTCCTTTTTTTTTGCTTTTCTTTAACATTGGCGGTGCAAATTCAGTAACTCCAACCCCAAAACCAGAGTCCAAGATAAGGGAAGGGGACACAGAACTCCCTCTGAGAATGTTGAATTACTGTTCCCTTTATATTCACCTATACTTGAATTGAATAATGTGGAAGAAAATTCCTATGTTTTAATTGTAGAAAACCAGTCTAGTTGGAATATGTGTATCTGAGAACACAATGATTCATCTATAAAGTAATAGTCTCATGACTAGAATAAAAAGGAATTATTATTGGATATAACCTAAGATGAAACAGTTAAAATTCCACTTGGATAGAACCAGTTTACACATGTGCTTATATATGAATGGCTCTATATACATGTTTGTACATGAAAGAAATCTTGAAGCAAGCTGAATTCTTATCTCAGTCATGCCAGTGTCAGTCCTGTAACTCTCGTGTGTGTACAGGATCTAAATCATGGCTCCATTTGATGGCACAGTTCCTGTCGTCTTGAATGTGGCTTGCATGGTAGTGAGATCAGCCACTAGTCTGCAGTGTCTCTTACAATGCTAGAGGTACAGCTGAAGAGGCAATATGAACATTTACCTGTAGACAACTAAACTGAACAATTGTAGAATACACAGTTAAGAACAGCACTTGACAGGATTGTCCTACTTTGGCCTCTGTCAGAAAAAAAAAGATGTCTGCAGAAGGTTTTCAACAAATGTGCATGTGCTAATTATGTGTAAAACAAGTTCTGGAAGAAATGGTAATATTTCATCTACGTGCTTTTTCTGTTCTTTGGACTACTATGATGAGGGCAATGTCAACGTGTCCCTTAAGTTTTGTTTTTCAAGATTCTTGAACTTTGTTAGACTGGTTTCTCTATCAGTTTAACCCCCATTAGCTCAGTGAAATTACTGCTGACTTATGCCAGTGAGAGTGAATCCAGCCTTTCCCTAAACTCATTGTCTGTACAAATTAAAACTGTGTCGGTACAGGGTAAAAAAGCTCCTCTCACCAAGTACTCCTAGACTCAGAAAAATGATCATTTACATATCAACCTATTTGCTTCCTGGCCAATCAAAACAGACATGTTTATGGTAAGGAAGAAGGAGTGCAGACACTCAGGATACATGGGACAAAGGAACAGCACCTACTGTCGTGCAGTATCTCTGCAATACCCATCAGGTCTCTCTACCCCCCCACAAGTGGTGCAATTCAGTGCTCTAGTCACATGAACCTCTGTGAAGCAGAGCTGGTCCTAAAAAGATGACTCTATGCAAGAGATTAAACATGTTGCAGCAGCCATGTGGTTCGCATTATGAAAAGTAGCAGATAAACTTTTAATTGCCCAAATGAAATGGCTTGTTACTGGACGGGGGGGGAAGGAGAATGATTTAAAATGTTAAGATGGAGGAAGCCCTTGCCCTGAGGGGAGCATGTTACTAACCAGGCACCCATTTTCTAATATGGCTGGAGCAGTTTAAGATACCTCCTAGTTAAGACTGTGTTAGTCCATAGCTATTGCTATCTGTTCTGGGGAAGAGTACTAGTACCAGGAAATGGGGTGGGCACAAAATGACCCACAAAAAAGCAAGCATTGCAACCAAGAGAAGGGTATGGCTACAATGTTGTTAACTGAAATGTGAGAAGAGGGCCTAGACTGTTTGTTTTTGTACACCAATGAAAATTTTAACCACAGTTTAGGCATCTCATTCCACAGACAAGCATCACTCCTCGTGACAGGCTGCAAGATGCAGTGAGTAGGTGCTGCATGTCTATTACATATGTTATACTCAGTTCATATATAGAGATAATCTTAGGCAGTTTTTACATCTTGACACTGCTTTCTGATCTCATTCATTGCAGCAGTAAGAGGCAAATCACAGTTGAAGAGCTCAAGTGTTCATTGCAAGTTATATAAATAAAAGGTAATTCTAGTTAAGGAAAACAGCCTTGAATGATGTGCTTGGTATAATATGCTCAGCCAGTGATGTTCTTGACTTTGGCTTAAGTTTAGCAGAGACTAGTTACAGGCTGTTACACTCGACGCTGAAACCCATCCAGGCCCATGGCAGGAATTTGAGAGATGGATGTTACTTTACACTACCATGCTTGGGCACAGCATTGCAAGTAATCAGTCTATTTCTGTTCCCATTAGTCTCAGCAGATGTGCTATCCAAGAGATGCCAGCTTCCCACATGGCCGCTTATGCAGCAAGAACAAGCTTGCTATGATCGTGAAGAGGGAAAACAAGGACCACACAAATGGATACAGACATGTAAGACACACACACAGGCTGCAGGTTACTTTTACAAGTTTCTTTATGAAATTAAATGTAGCCCCTTGTGTGGGGAAAGATATAGTGCAAGAATGACTTTATACATGCTACTGAATTCAGATATCCCCGGATGACCAGACTTTGGTCAGCTACAGCATCAGCATACATTGGACCTCTGAGCTTTGCAGAGAGTTAGTGCTCACTCACAATAGCATCCTGTTGGAGTGAATGGATATCTTGTTTCCAACCTCACAGGACTTTCTCCTAAACTATGGAATTCAGTCAGTATGGCTTCTAACTCTTTCACTATTGTAAGGCATATCTTTTCTTTTACTAACCAAGGATTAAATGAATTCTTTTTGGCCACAGTTATCAAACCTGGATGCCTAAAGGTAGACTCCAAATCCCATGGTCAGGGTCTTCTAGAACTGACTTGTTTCTCTTCCCCCCACCTGTCCCCCCACAACATGTGAAAAGCCAAGACCACAGTGCCCAGCCATGAATTCTAACTTTAGGGAGCTAGGTTTGCAAGTGTTGGCCACCTTGTTTTTGTTAAAAAAGACAGACAAAACAGGCATCAAGTTAACATCTGACAAGACCAATTACAAACTTACAAAATACACAGTTTTGTTTTTACCATAAATAAAACACATTACAAACAATGAACATTTTCATTGGCCAGGAAATATGGCAGAGTGATGATGGAAAGAGTCTAAGGAGTATTAATTTAGGCACAATTTTTCCTAACAAACATAACTCAAGAAAACCAGCTAGATTGTGAGATTCTTGTACTTTTACTCATGCTGTAAGTTGGTTGGCACCATTTAAGATACTATGGTTCTTCATCAGTGTGCTGAACTAAGGAGGAAGTAAAAAGGTCACAGTGATACTCACTGCTGCCTTTTCTAAGTGCCAATAAAGGCTAATCAATTTGTTAAACATGTAGGGATATCACTTCCTTGATGAGAAACACTGGGGATGGTGGCAGTGGAAGAAAGGGTTTAATTCCCCCCAAAAGTGCATAACATCAGCAATAATGGAACCAGTGTTTTGGGCATGCTCAGTAGACACCAAGCAGGTAGATGTCCTACTGACCCAGCTGACATCTCTGCACAGAGAGCCGCACTGACTGAAAGTTAGTCTTTCTGGTAGTCGTCATACAGCAATTATGTTCCCAGCTGGGAGGAATGGTTCAAGATGCAAACGGACAGTAAGGGAAATCTGAGGATGAAACACACTTTGGGCTCCATGCTGTTGTGTTCTCTTGCTTGGGAGTTACAGAGCTGCTGGGTGCTGTGCAAGGTCGGCTCACTTAAACTGGTACGAGCACAGTGTCCCATTTTGGAGCCATTGAGTTTAGTCAGTCTGCAAAATAAATAGGGAAGGAAGGAGCGTGCACCGTCCTCTGCAGACAAAGGATTGGAGGAGTCTGGGCTCAAGTATCCCAGAGCTGATGGATAAAGTGCTTTCTTGGAGGGGATTCAGGCACAGACGCGGGGCTGCCCTTCATTTCCGGAAGGGTGTCAGCCTGCTGATGTTCTGCCAGAAGTTTGAAGGCTTGCGCTTGGGCTCTGCCAACATGAAGACTTGCTGCTGGGGCAGGTTGGCCGGCAGGGTGGGGTGCTTCTGGCGCATCAGAAAGTCGTAGTAGGGTCTGGTGACAGCTGTGCAGACAAGGAGACAGGCAAGGGCAAACATTAGGCTGGTGCAGTCCCAATCCCAGCTCCTACTCAGTCACCACTAGCGTTAACTAGATTTGTTCTGGTTGGATATTAGTATACCCTTTAAAACAGCCAGCAGCCACCCTTAAATGTAGACAGAACTCCAAAGCCATGACGGGTTTCTCTGCACAGCACTGCCTTGGGGGCACGTGTGCACACAAAGAAGCTGATATGGTAAACAGTTAATCAGCCCAATCTCTTAGCCTAAGAACACTTTCTACTTCCCCCTAAAAGCTACTTATCATTCCTCCACTTCTTCTCTCTTCCTTCTATGCAAGTGACCACATCATTTCAAATTGCCTGGAGGACCCTGTTTCAAAGGAATGGTAGTCTCCAGTCAGAAGCCACTGAACAGTCCCCTGGGCAGTAGCTGCTAACTGTATTTAACCACCTTGAGCGCTCTTGTGGGTTTCTGGAACATAAAGTAACGAGTAGATGCAAGCTACGTCTCATAGTCAAGGAAGGCTGGTTTCCAGGCTTTCCTCAGCTTCATTAAGGACTGCAATCTCTTTAACCTATCTAGAGCTGCCAGTCTCCCACATCTCTGAGCCCACCATGTGGCCTACACAAGAGCTTCTGTTAGTGTCATTTGATTGACACTAATCACAATAGCAAAATGGGCTTATGCAGAAAAAAATTACATGCAATTGAAGGCAGCACCAAAATATGGTGCTGCAGCTCACTGCCATAGTTCAGGGACAGTTGCATGTGTGTCATCAGGATCATTTTACATGTCGTCATTTCCTCTCATTCTTCAGTGATGAGGAACCTGCTCCAGCAAAAATATTAGCTTGTCAAAGACAATCTGCAAAATTGTGTTTCCTGATTCAACTTAAAGCAATAGCACTCGATGTGGTAGATTGTGAAAGTGAGTAACTGCTGCTGTTGGTATTTCTTCCTGTATGATCCCTAGACCTTGCTTTGCAAGTTCATTGGTAAAACATATCTTTAATTAATCCTTAATTATTTGCCTCTAAATAGTAACAATAGGGAATTGGATCAAGATTGGGGAAGAATAAAATTTCACAGCTACTTAAACTACAATGGATGGCTTTAAGGCTTGGATCTCTTTGACATTGTGTTTAGTTAAGGACTTTTACTAGTAAAGGAGCTTGAGGCTACATCTTAGTAATTCAGGAGGAAAGAATACAAGTGTTATCTTTTACCACAGTCTAAAGGAATAACTGCTTGTAAAGTTTTTATGAACAAAAATGCTATTACAGAAAAGCTGAAATACCTCAACAGTTGTGATGTAATTCAGACTGTCTGGTAGTCGGCCATGTAGGTGTCCAGCAGCAAATCTGAATTAATTTATATCTGGGTGCCAGTAAAGTTTTTGATTTTACAAACAGTTTACTTGCTGATAAACTGACGGAGCTGCATATTTTACTTTATTTCAATCCAATTTTATTGTAATTTCCTGTCAGTCTGGATTTATGGAAATCAGAAACTGTTGTTGAAAAAGCAATTACCTATTCATTTGCCTCTCTGCTTACCAAATGACTAATGTGACACTGCCATTAAGTATTATAAACCTTCCTACTGAGAGAAGATGGGCTTCCAAGCTATGGCATAAGAAATGACCAGAACCAGTCTCCTGAATGGTGGCAAGCAGTAGGCCTGACCAGCTCAAACCCTGTGTGCTGCCTTTTCAGAAGCACTGAAATACTTGGGGTAGGGGGGAAAACCAAACAGATCCAAACTCACCCTTGGGCTTCCCACTGTGGTGGTGTTTGCTGGCATTCAACATTGCCTGCTTCTTCTGCACTTCTGTGATCGAAAAACCTTTAAAATAAGGCACTTGCATCACTTCACGTATGATTTTTCTTGGATAAGCATATATTAAAAGGGCAAAATCTCGGGACGCACAAGTATCACTGGCTCTGATTGTGCTTCAGCGGCATAGCTTAGTGGAGGGCAGGGGCTTCTTCCAGTGCACCGGGTACCCAAGGAAGATGACTAGGCTAGTTGTGTCTGCTGCACCCCACTCCCTGCATCCTGGATGAATACAGTTCACAAACTGCCTGCAGGCTGTGGTGGTGTCAGTGCATTGGCCCTCCACAGGAGCCACATAAACAGGGTTGACACAATCCAGCCCCAGTCACATAAGGCTAAGTTTAGATGGGTTTGGCCCACAGAAAAGAGAGGGTCATACAAGAACCTGGCTAGAACCTGAGCTGTGCATGCTGAGAGAGTGACACGTCTGTCTCTACCGCTGTACTTTGCAGAAGGATATATAATATGCATAATGTACTGACTACTTAATTGTTCAAGAAGGCCTGGCAAAGATTTCTACAGCTCCTTGAGATCTCATTTCAGAATTTGCTCTCTCTGCTATGTTTTTCTTGGTACCCAATGAGAGGAAAAGGAAAACACCATCATGCATAATATATGAAGCAACAGCCCAGGGATGGGATTGAGGGGCTCATTTATTGCATTGGCATATATTTCAGTTTAAAATGGCATGGGGCTATGTTAGGCACCAGCTGGTCTTTCCGTACCAGTTTCCTGGTCGAGCTGAACCTGTTTCCTTTCATTCTCAAATGCTTTGAGCCAGCGCTGCTTCTGTTCTGGCTTTTTTGCACAGAATAAGTGGACTTCCTCTGTGGTCTTACAGTGCAGCTTGAATGCATTTTTAACACTGATGTTGAAGTCCTTGTCCTTCCCATCCTCCACATCTACTATTTCCATGTCGTCCATGTTGATCCGACTCTTGTAATATAAGATGTCACGGCGCAGGAGGTCCTATGAGAGATCACATGACAGCATGCTCAAGTTTCTGTCGCAGTTGAGGGTGTTCCGCCCCCGCCCCTCCTTCACTTTCTGGTGTTACTTTGCTAAAGACCATGCCTGCCTTATAAAGAAAAACCAAACATCTCAATTTGGACTGTTGCTCAAAACTGCATGAGGTTTTTTCCATTCTGTTTCTTATGCTGGTTACAGTCTTACAGGAAATGGATGGGCAACAATTCAGTTTCTTTTGTTAGTTGCATGTGTATCTAAGCAGGACTATCCTGAGAAACCTTAAAGTGGCATGATGATATCCTACTAAAACTGCCAGCTACACCAAAGCCTCTGTGAACATAAGCCTTTTCCAATTATGCATGAAAACTGGACTAGAAATTCATCCCTCTCTTCTAATTCAGAGTAAAAAGAGACGGTCACAGCTCTAGCTGAGCCTAATGGTCACTGAGCTACTGTGAAGCCCCCAAAATTCATGATGAGATCTTTCAACTAATGATACTAATAAAATGTAAAGTCAGTGCTAGTGTCAGATATGATGCCCTCATTGTTTCTGAGTGACTAAAATGTTAGCATAAGCAGTGCTTCAGACATGAATAAGTATTCCTGAATTTCCACTTACTGGGCCACAATTGTGTGATGTGACCATCACACAGGTGTATCTGTGATCATTGCACTTTTTAATGAACACAAATGGCCAGGTAAAACCCTGCCTACAGCCTTTGACCTTCATGTTCAGGGGGACTGGACTTTTGACCTAACCTGAGGGCGTTCAGGAATATCAGGCCCAGAGACCAGTCCTTAAAACCATGAAAGAATGTGTGAGAGAAACTGGTGCCTGATCCATATCATTAATGCCGCTCTCCCCAGGCATGTCAAAAAACTGCAGATCTGATCTTTAAATGCTGCATGGCCAATGGAAAGTGTCAAAAGCTAAAAACCAAAGCTTGCTTTTTTTGTCCCAGCTTCATTTACTGCCTGGTTTAAAAGCTGTACAAGATTCGCATATCTACATTGTGCATTCATGTGCCATAGCTACTGCACATTAAGTTTAGTATGTCTAATATGAGGTACTAATTAAATGCACAGTAGCTGGCACCACAGGCAACAGGTGCCTCCTGAGTTGGGGGGGGGGGGGGGGGGGGGCCCCCCCCCCCCCACAAAAGCCCACGGGAGGACCTTTCCCGCA